GCTCCGAAGTTGCTTGCTTCCCATTATTTGAAGAGTAATGTGTCGATAAGGTATTAAATTAAATAAATAAATAAATAAATAAATATCTTTTGGTTTTTTAACCCTGAGCCAGATCAATGGGATAAGCCTGTATTCAGGAATCTCACTGAATGGCAGAATTCACTCACGTTAGACCTATAAGTAAGCCTTTAATATCGTTTTCAGTTGGAAGAGCTGTAAACGAGGTCTGACTTGCAAATGTGCAGTTGGAAGTATGTTGTTGTTTTTTACATGAAAAACTAGGACAAAAAGCTTTTAAAATCTATTGCATGTTATCATTAAAGCACTTCTTCCTCAGGCAAACGTGGTCGTTTATAAGAGTCTGGGCTCATGTTTGTGATAAACACTAAAAATGATTTGACCAGATGTATAATCGGCAGCAATGTTCCCTCGAATTTCCGGCGGGGCTCCAGCTGAAGCTGGAATGAAATGGCAAGAACATTGGCTGCTGGTGCACAGCCCCAAGGGGAGTCTGCGCGCCCAGCCTACAGGGAATGTTGCTCATTGGTGGTTTAGGTCTCTAGAGGTTGGGAGTTCGATTCTCCGCTTGTGCCTCCTGGGAGAAAAGCCAGCCTGGGTAGCCTTGGGCCAGCTGCCCACAGTCCCAGGGCTCCCCCTAGAGTAAGGAAATGGTAAAACACTTCTGAGTATTCTCTATCAGTAAAAACCCTGGAGAGGGTTGCCAATACCATACATCAGAATTGACATATGATGATTATTATAATTGTCATAGGTGCCACTTAGATGGGAAATCCCTCAAGGTCTTTCATCTGCTCCTGACAGTCAAAAATAGGCTGTGGCCTCCCTTGACTGTATTAGGTTCAGTCTAGCGTTAAGCTGGATTTCAAGCCTTCTTAAAGGGAAGGAAAAAGAGCATCAGGTTTTAAGAAAATGTGATTTTAATGGACATATTTACAGTGTAATATCAGTCTGTGCTTGGCATCATGCAGGGAAGTTAACACGTTTTGTTATAAAAAGTGCAATTGAAGGATAGCTTGGGGTTCTCCTGAGAAGCTGGTCTTCCATCCGACAGAAGAGGCAGGACCTCCAGACAAAAATAATCTGCTCCGCACAGCAAAACATGACAGTAACAGGATAGTACAACAGCTGTAAGACTTCATGGGTTCCCAGCGACATCTGCCAGATGGGTTTTGCAGTCACTGCCAGGCAGAAACACAAGTCCACCGTTGGACCACCACGTGGCTCCATCATTTCAGCCCATGCAACACCGCTTGGCGTTATCAGTTCAGTGTCTCCAGCAGCTGGAGGAAAGAGAGGTCCATGTGGGTCCCTAGTGTCACTGAAGCATCTTTCTAGAAGGAGGAGCCTGGAGGTGGCATCCGGGTGGCAAGTCGTCCTCCTTCTCCTCTTTGGTGGCATCCAGCAACTGCTGCATGTAACAAGACGTACCGAGCAGCACGTGGCCCGTGGCTTGCATGGTGAAAAGCGTCCAGCGTAAAGCTTCTCTAGAAAGAGAAAAAGGGAATGAAAGTTGATAGGAATCTAGAAGAAGACAGGGTTATACAAAACTAAAAGTCAAGTTTGAGTGAAAAAGTCGGTGAACCTGTCCAGGGCATTATTTTATGTTTCAAGTTGAAACTCATTTGTAAAAAAGGAAGATCGTGGAGCTGCCACCATCTTCACAGCTATCTCCCAGGGCTTCAATCAAAAGAGGTGAGAATTGGAGGGGAAAAAGCCCTTTTAGCTATATTTTTCAGCCAGGGGTACAAAGTCCCATCTTGGGACGTTTCAGGGCTATCCTCCACCATGGGGCTGATCAAAACTGCCTTTGGAAAACTGAGAACTGTGTCCTTGGAGAGTTTTGTGTCCACAGTGAGTTTTGTTCTGGAACATTTGTGCGGAGGGAAAGGCCCCAAATTTCAAGCCTGGAGATGTCTCTGGAATATTTGAGGTGGCAAGACAAATGGTTACACCGGCAACCTCCGTTCTCTAGATTTCAGGAATCACCAGGACTCCTGATCCCCTTTCAAGGAAGGCGTGTAACGTATTGAGCAAAATCCTGTTGCGTTAAGTCACACCAGCGTAAAATGAAAGCTGGCGGTCAAGAAATATTTGATTTAAAATAACTGAAAGCTCAAATCACCTTTCAGTTTCTGAGGCTCCCTTTTGCCCGTGGGGAGCCTTGGGAAAAGAAATCCTTTCATAGTTTAAACAAGCAAACACCATTGGAGTGCTGCTAGCAGGATTGGGACCCCCAGCCATGGGACTACTGGATAGTTCAGTGGTCTGTAGAGCCAGTGGTTGGGAGTTTGATTCCCCCACGGTGCCTCCTTGATAGAGGCTGGACTGGATGATCTTGAGGGTCCCTTCCATCTCGGCAATTCTAAGATTATTATATATTATCTTTTGGCTATTAAAGAGCCTGTGCCTCACAACCTGAAGGGGGTGGGTGGGATTGGAAGGTTTAAATTAATCTAAATTAAATATTTCTGGTGAAAGGCCTGTTTTACGTTAGCATAACTTGGCACAACAGAGTTTTGTCCAGACGAAGGCGGAATTCTAAAGCAAAGTTCTCTACAGACAGTTTTATATTTAAATCAACGCCTGCATTGAGGCATGAGGGATGGATTTGGAAATCTCTCCCGCCTTATTTCTTATGACAGGCAATGTTTTGACCTGCATTGCAGAGACACTCAAATTATCCCACGTTTATCTCCCTCTGGAGGCCACCCCCCCATTTGAAGGGGCTAGATTAATTTTTGTGACAGCAATCCCTGGTGCCTACTGCATCATGGATTATGCTGTAACATAATCTTTTAAATTTCTTTCTCTACAGGATGTGCAAACGGCACTCCCTTTACCCCCAAGCAGCTGTGATAGCTGAGGATGATGAAAACGCACTCCCCCAACAGGTTTCTTCAGAGATACATGCAATCGGCAATCAGATCTGCAAAATGAGCCCACCTTCAGTTTTATTTGCAGATCATGAAACACACTAAATGTAAGGCAGAGATAAGAATCACATACTATGACAAGCAGATGTCTGTCATTTGTGAAGGGAGCACCTCTTCTAAATACATGCTAATTGTATTATCTGGTGTGAATCACCATCCCCAGCCATTTCAGAGCAAGTCAGGTGCCAACTTCTCCGGTGTGCAAAAATACCGATACTTACTTCATTATCCTTTTAGCGCCGTAACACTGCATGTCGTAGGACATGCTGTAAGTGCCATAGAGGGTGGCCTTGACATTCAAGCAGCCAATGAAGTCTCGTGGGTTCGTCTTGTAGAGGTCGAAGGTTACACAGGCCACGTCAATCCTGCGCCGGGGCTGGTGGGAGAGCGAGAGCTGGTAGCCTGGATCCTGTCAAAAAAAGGTGAAGCACGCAGAGCTGATAAAAAGTCAGCCAAACACCACGCACAAAGTTTGGATTTCACTCCAAATGTACTCTTTGGAGAGAGCTTTAAAAAATATTGCGGGCCAGCAAGAAGACACGTATGTGGCTTTCTGGAGCAAGACCCAGCGGCAAGACGATTAAGAAAAGCTGAAGGTGGCAGGAGAAGAGGAAAATCTAACATGAGATGCATTGACTCAATTAAGGAAGCCTCATTTTTCAGTTTGCAAGACCTGAGTTGTGTTATTAATTATAGGATCTTTCAGAGGTCTATATTTCATGAGGTTGGAATGGACCTGGTAACACTTTATTTTTATTTTTATTGCATTTATATGCTGCCCATCTAGACACAGTCTACTCTTGGCGGCTCACAACATATACAATAAAAACAATTTAAAATATACACAGTTATTACATAGGTAAAAACAAAGCAGTATATAAAATATAAATCATAAGTTTACAATTTTAACAATTAATTAATTTAAAGTAAACAGTTCCAAGATGGCATAGATCAAAAGAAAAAATAAGAATCACTTAATTGACTGAAGGGAAGGCCTGCTTGAATAGCTAAGTTTTCAACTGGCTTTTGAAAATGCCCAGCGAGGGTGCCAGCCGAATTTCGGTAGGGAGGGTGTTCCACAGCCGAGGAATTTAAATAATTTAAACATAATTTAAATAAAAAAAGGTATTGTCCAATTGTGGGTTTTTTGGTTTTGTGTGTCTGTGTTTGCTTTGTCTAGCCATTTTGTGGTTACCGCTTGTTTTGTTTGTTGTCCGTGATAAGTGGCTTCTCTTGGGGGCCATGAAGAAAATTGCCAGGGAATGGAACAGCCAAGTCATGTTTCTGCAACGCTCGGGAAGGGCTGTTGTGATTAAATGCACGTTGTGTCAAATCTCTTGCACATCCTTTCGGAGAAACAAACCAGGAGACTCTGCCTTTCGAAATACAAACGGCTGGAATGCGGAGAGGCGGGGAAAGGCGATTCAGCTCCTGCGACGAAATTTTGCAAATTTAGGTGAAGTGTCCCAATGAACCTATAAATGGGCTAAACATCGTAAGCCAATAGGAACGTCTAGGAAAATGGGCATAAGCTTCCATGGGGAACACAGAAACCAGAATGGGGGAAAAAATAAAATGAAGTGAACACAGAAATGATCTCAATATGAATCTTGAGAGAGAGGCAACGGAACGGGTACAGCTTTCAAAAATCCAGAGGTATTGTGCGCGCAGGGAGGAGCAGCCCTCAAACCTTCAGGCATTGCCCGCCCCATACTAGACTCAACATATGATACTCTTTTTAGGTTTGGCTTGAAGGGATCTTTCAGGGATGAGGCGTCTGTCAAACAATCTAGCAGCAAGCAATAGTTTCCCTGCTGCCTCTGAGTTCAAAGAGAGTCCCATCTCTTTGCACAGAGTTCTTGCCCCCAGTCAGAGGTCTGTTGGAAGACGTTAGTTGGTTAAAGGCCTGTTGCTGCAAGCAGTCGTGTTTGTTCTTAGTTTGCTGTTATTACCAACTGTAAGTAAATGAAACCTTTTACTCTTTTTTTCCTAATAAGGTCTCTGAGGACTTGTCCCAGCTTAAGAAGCACAGTGGGTGGGGACCAAGCTTAAGTCCATGGGACTGCGTTCCCAAGGGTCTCTCAAGGGTCCCATACCCTGTGAGTCTGGCCAAGCGGAGCGGCTCCAAGGGAATCTGCACGGCTAAACACGAGAGCAGTATAGAAGGTGACAGCGGTTCATTCAGGGCAAATCAATGCAAAAAGAAGCACCGGGGGAAGAAAGCTTTTTTGGCTGAAGAACCAGGAGACACTGTACGAAAGACGAGTGTCTTTCTGGTCTTTCGTACAGTGAAACCAGCCTGGAGGCCACATAACCTCATCCTTTAGACCTCCCACAGCTAATGCTGGAAGATCCAGGATGATGTCCAACCACCAGCAGGAAAGGAAGAGGGATCCTAAGAATGTTTGGTGAGGGTGTATTGTTGTTCTTTAGTCGTTTAGTCGTGTCCGACTCTTCGTGACCCCCATGGACCAGAGCACGCCAGGCCCTCCTGTCTTCCATGGCCTCCCGGAGTTGGGTCAAAGTTATGTTGGTCGCTTCGTAGACACTGTCCAGCCATCTTGTCCTCTGTCGTCCCCCTTCTCCTCTTGCCTTCACACTTGCCCAACATCAGAGTCTTTTCCAGGGAGTCCTCTCTTCTCATGAGATGGCCAAAGGATTGGAGCTTCAGCTTCAGGATCTGTCCTTCAGGGTTGATTTCCTTCAGAATGGATAGGTTTGTTTTCCTTGCAGTCCAGGGGACTCTCAAGAGTCTCCTCCAGCACCACAATTCAAAAGCATCAATTCTTTGGTGATCAGCCTTCTTTATGGTCCAGCTCTCACTCCCATACATCGCTACTACAAAAACCATAGCTTTGACTATTCGGACTTTTGTTGGCAAGGTGAGGTCTCTGCTTTTTAAGATGCTGTCGAGGTTTGTCATCGCTTTCCTCCCAAGAAGCAGGCGTCTTTTAATTTCGTGGCTGCTGTCCCCATCTGCAGTGATCACCAAGCCCAAGAAAGTAAAATCTGTCACTGCCTCCCTATCTCCCCCCTTCTATTTGCCAGGAGGTGATGGGACCCATAATACACACCCACAATTTTGGGTAGGGTGGTGGTTTAATTTTAGGACTACCATTGTCAGAACCCACAGCTCCATCCAGCATCACCCCTGGTCTTGCCGGCTGCAGGATTTTGGGCAATGTAGTCCCCTTGCATACCCCCCTCCCGAAATGGGACGTGGCCCGGCTCTGCACACCCAACTTTTAACTAGCAGAAGACCAGCCCCTGGTGATGACCGTTCTGATGTGTTGTAGGCTTCAGGGATCCATGGCTCACCTTGGCCGGCCGCCACGTCTGTCCTTTGGTTAACACCACCAGCACAGTGCCGTCCTCCAAAGTCTGGAAAAATTCCTCTGTTTCCACACCGGTTCCGTCTTCATCCAGGACCAAAGAGATGTTTCCTACCAAAAGCAGGGCACTGCGGGCCTGTTGAACACAAAAAAACAGAGGTCTTGTGAGACCCTTCACCGCATCTCCCAATCTCTCTGCATATGTTCATGGGTGGGGGGTTAGCCTTGTCAGTGGCACCCCACTTACTGAAATGTGAAGGCCAATCAAAGACCAGAAATTGGGACCTTGTGAGGCCGTGAGACGGGGCTGGTAAGAGTGGACAAGGGGTAAAATTACTTCCGTTGGAGCTTTTCTCTGACAACCTCGCTGTGCCTGTGGCTTGAATGACTGGGAGGGACCTTTTAATAGGCTGGGGTGGCCGTCAATCTATCCAGCACTAACCAATCATTCCCTCCCACCTCTGAATTCAAAGAGATCCCTGCCTCTCTGTTCCGTGTTCCTTTCCCTCTCTTTCGCCTGCTGGAAGCAACTGTTTGTTTTGTTTGCTGTTGATCCGTTTCCAACTGTAACGAACCATTTTTTATTCTTTCTCCTACAAATGTCAGTAGTATATATACCATATGACTATACATACAAATATATCGATATAAAAAGGGAGTGAAAAAACCCGACTCAACTGGTCCATGTGATTAGGACCTCAGAGTGAGTTATTGAGACTTAAGTGCCAGTTAATGAGAATCAAGTGAACTATCTGAAGCACCCGTAGTCATTCTCTATGCGTCTTTGTTCTGTAGCTCAAAAGAATTTAAGCAGACATTCAAAACTCTGCAACAGCTTCTGATCTAGCAAGTTCTAGAAATGAGCGCAAGGGGGATTTAGATAAACGGGTCAAGGATCGAAGCAGAACTACAAGGGCAGCCGGGATATTTTTTTGGAGGCAAGCGGGTAGTAAAAGGAAGCCAGTCGCGGCTGTGGCGGCTACTGTTCCTGCTGGGATTTCCTGCCACGTGGCGTGAAGAACATCACCGCCAGGTGATCGGGGATGACTGTAAGGATCCCTCTAAATGGCATACTGTACATTAAAGAGACTTGATTCAGCCCCATCCTGCCTGGGATAACGCGTTGCATTCTCTCTTGCTCTAAATCAAACTTTTTCCTTCTGCAGAGTCGCTTGCCCTAAGAACCGTCACCCCACCTGGGGAAGAGGGAACGCACAGCCGTCCCCCGAGATCCAACTGATGGCTCAAGCCCCAGATGGCAGTGAATCCACCCGGCATCCCCAGTCTCTTCCTGTTTGTGAATTGCAGCCTTTTAAAGGCAAATCCAGGTTCCAGAGCAGAGAGCTTGAAACGCCCCAAAGCCTTTGGGCGGCACAATTTAGGGTGTCTGAGGAGCGAAGATGTCAGAGGAGCGTGTCGGCCTCCAAGGTCTGAGGAAGGTCGGGGGGGGAAGGCGGCACTCTTGGAGAGATGGCTTACCTTCTCTTGCAGATCCTCCAGGCTTTCGGCCACGATCCCCTTGCGCAGAGTGCGGTCACAGTTGCTGACCCGGTAAGGCCGGGCGCGGGGAGCAGGGCTGGCGGACACACACCTGGAAACGAGAAAAGGCCCACACGATAAAAGGAAGCCCCTGGAACCGCATTCCGGCAAGGAATTGAGGATCTGGCCCTCGGGGGGGACACCCCCACGGCAAGGTTCAGTTTCTGGGCGTTTGATTTGGGGCGAGATCCTTTACGGCAGCAAGCAAGTAGACCTCTCCCAGGAGATCTTCTCGCTATCTAATTCGATTAGCACATATCTCGATCTGTGGCTACACATACAGAAGTATCGCACAGGAGGAGAATTCCATGTGTCTTTTGCTGCCAAAAAACTTGCACTGAGACAAATTTGCTGCAAGATTTTGGCTTTTCCCCCTTTAATTTTGCCAGCTTTCGGGGG